AGTCAGGAAAATGTAAGGCCTTGCATCTACACAAGACCAACAGGAGAAAAGAAAGTATATAAACGACACATTCACTAGTACACAGCCACATTCCCCACATTCAACTTCTGAAGGCAAATTATACATAAGTAACATAGTTTTACTAACCACTGATTTCTAATAGTTCATTCTGAATGACCTTCATACACACAGTTAAGGCATTCAGCTGTTAATGTGGGGGGCTAAGTCCATTCTAATGAATATCTGCTCCAGTAATGCAACATGAAACTCCAGAATCTGGTCCAAATAACAATCTACCATCTTACATGATCAGCAATTTAAAGTAACCCCCCACCCCCCTTACAATCCAAAACTAAGATAACTGCATACATTCTAGTGGACTTACCTAATCTGTCAAAACACGTGTTACACCACTGATGATCCTTAATTTCCTTTAATTTTGCACGGCGAGATGGGATGTGTACAAGTATCTTCTGTATCAAGTCCATGGCCAAATGATCCAACTCTACAAATGGTTCTAGATGTCCTGCTTTACTATCCTTCCATGCCACGTATTCATTAGACTCCATAGATGCAATTTTCCATGGTAAACCTGAAACAAAATAAAAAATTTATATTACATTACTTTCCTTGAACTTCATATATTTCTTCGAGTCATTTACTACCCAACCTTGATCGCCATTTTAAATAAATTCCCAAGTTTGAGTCTCCATAAAGTGATGTGGCAGCCTCTCATGTTCAACCCCTGAAAGGAAGAAAACTTTACTTTTTCGCTATGCACGTACGATGAGGACATGTGAGAGATGACTTCTGCTACTGGAGAACTCCCATCCAAGAAGTTTTCATAAGTCATTTTGAGATACAGCATACAATCCACTCCAAATGTATGTGTAACAGTGATATCAATGGACAATATAAATGCTCATTACACATAAGTATAACTAAAGCTATCCCTGTACCATGCCATGAGGGGTTGCAAGACACTGAGGGTCCCACATTATCTAGACAATCAGCTCAAAGATGGCGGTAAGGTTGTCAGCCTTATGTGCCGGCTGCGCTTTACTCCCCAGGAAACTTATTTAATTAATTCCTGGTACTCATTTCTGTTAGAGGCTGAGTCAACCCCAGGGCCATAATGTTGCTGGAGGGATTAGGTCAATTGGGAAAAAATTCAATGATCTCATCGGGACTTGAACCCTCGACCTTCCAGCTTGTAGCATAGCTCCTCAACGAACTACGCCTCACACAAACTTCATAATATCTGTACATTATGCTCTCTTTTAAGAAGGAATAATAATAGACATCTGTAAATATGGAAAGTGTTACTTTCAGGAAGGGCAAATTTTGAATTCTCTTACATGCACAGGATTTGGGACCCAGTCACGTTCCTTTCCCCGGTAGGAAGAGGACTGGGACTAAGACGAGGAGTATGTGACCCTCATATACTTTTGAGTAACCACGGTAAAACAAAGCTGGTTCGAAAGATCATAAAAGCAAAACAAGTGAGTGCAAGAACCTAGAGTCTTTAAGTGTAAGGAAAAACCATACAAATAAAAGCTGTTCCACAAATTGCGGTTCAGATTGCTCTGTATGGGCACACCAGTACAACTACATCAAGTAGTGAGATTTTGTAGTGTTAATAAATATTCAGTGATGTCTTCGGATTCAGCTTCCAAATGGAAAAGCTCAAAGTCAGATGACACTGTTATGCCCAGCATGCATGCCACACTCAAAATTATATCACTGTATTATTTTTAATTGTCCCTAGCATCCCTATTCTTCAGGTGTCTCGCAAACAGCAGAAATGTGCCCAACACAGAATGTGTTTCTTTTTCTCGACTACTTGCGTTAAAATTTTCCCTTTTGACTCTGATAAGTATTTACACAGTTATGCTCAAGTCATGCAGAGAAACATGTAGACCTCTAGCGTGAAATAATGGTATCTTGGTCTGGTTTCTACCAAAACTGGAAAGTGAAAAATGAATTTGAGTAGATCTCCGATATATAAAATTTAATGAAAATCCATTCAATGGCCAAGTTTTTTCGTGCTTTAAGAGAGAGACAGAAAGCCAGATGGTGCCCTGCAGAACAGTGAACATGCCTTCACAGGTTTAGCAATTACATAAAACCAATGACAACATGAGGTAACAAGTGTAACATTTAGTTTTCATAGGCAAATAGGGATCTATGAAAGTGCATTCCCAGCACATACAAAACTGAGCTAAACACTTACCAACTTCCCTGAACACAATTATACAAAAAGAAAGCTACTGTGCATACAGCACGAATACAGCCACAATGTGCAACTGTGCACCATTCCTTCATGCTGTGATGCCACTGCCAGTTATGAAAGGAACACTGTTTTTGACTTTGGTGGTACACTAGCTGGACCACTGCTCTCACTTGCTATCTTCAAAATTGTGCATATAACATCAATGGAAATTTGAAATGCTATTTACACATAACACGCTCCAAACTTTCAATACAGTGTGGTAATCAAGATTCCTCACTTTAAGGGATTCCCTTATGTAATGCTGAATTTCAATGATAACAAGTCAATCATTTCAGTATCAAATTTCATCCTTTCACTATCTCCCTCAATACGAGGGGGTACCCAAAAGAAACCGAACTTATTTTTTTTTAAACTTATTTATTCAAATTTTAAGCACAAAACTTCAATCCCCTTCAAAGTACTCTCCACTTACACTATTACACTTGTCTAGTCTTTTATTCCATTTTTCAAAACATTGTCTAAATTCATCTTTTGAGATGCTTGACAGCGCCTCCGTCGTTTTTTCCTTCACCTCAGCAACATGAGCAAAACACTTTCCTTTCATGTCTCTTTTCATTCGAGGAAACAAAAAAAAGTCAGGACTCTTCTTTCAAAGCACAGCATGCTTCCACGCGACTTTGTTTTTGTTCAGCAGTCAGCAGTCGTGGCACGAATTTCGCAGCCACCCTTTTCATTCCCAAATCTTCTGTCAAAATTCGCTGAACTGAGCTCCAAGTCACTCCCGACAGCTCCACAATTTCTTCAATGGTCTGTCGTCGATCTTCCTTGATGATTTCACGAATTTTT